CAACTCAAGTAAATAAGACTACTAGAAATACCATACATATGCCCAGGTTTTCAAAGGAGGTCATAGATCAAATATGCAAGCTAATCTTTAATTTTTAATTGGTTAGTAGACAGTGAGCAGGTGCCTGATGATTGGAGAATTGTTAATGTTACTCCTATTTTCAGAAGAAGAGATAAGAGTTGCCCTGGAAATTATAAGCCATTTAGTGTTACATATACAGTGGGATAAATTCTAGAGGTCCTAATAAAAGAAGCTTTGCAAAATTTGTAACATATTTTCACGCAAATAACTCGCAGGCTATATTTTAGTTATAAAAAATGCCAACTGTGGGGTGTACTCGTGTGCAGGTAATACAGTATTTTTTTTGTTTTTAAGACTGAAGTTGCCAATTTTCTATTCTGAGTATTTGTTTATATTCTTGTTCAACACGTGTTTAGTGAAGGTTTTATTGTGTTACTGTAATGTAAAAGGATCATTTAATTTTTTCTTGTCTTCCAAAATTCGCCTGTGTCACTGGCTTGCAGGGTATACACAAATGTGGGTAATATGTGCCTACAAGTTTCTTACAGCACCTTTTTCTTCTGGTGCAGGGTATACCAGGGGGTGGGTTATTTACATAAAAATATGTTAGTAAAATATATAATAAAGAAGACCAACATGGATTTACTAAAAGCAAGTTTTGCCTTACTAACCTGTTGAGTTTTTGAGGAAGTTCTTTTACTTGGATGATGGGAAGTTTATGGACTTGATGTATTTAGATTTTTGAAGGTTGGATGATGGGAAGTTTGTGGACTTGATATATTTAGATTTTTGGAAGGTACCACGTAGAAGATCAGCTAAGAAAATCATATTGGTGAAGGTTGGAGAAAGTCTAGTTGCTTGGATTTTTGGATGAGAGAAAGCAAAAACCTATTAATGGACTCCATTAAAACTGGTCTTTGGTTAAAAGTGGTGTGCATGCCTCAGGGTTCAGTGTTTGGACATTTACTGGTTTTCACTAATGATATTATTTATATAATTAGGAAAATTTGCTAATGAAATTAAACACCTTGGTATTTCTAAATGTATTGAAAGTATTAAGATATTACAGACTGACTTGGATCAATTGATAAGTTGGACAAAATTTTGGCCAATGACATTATGTTAAAGTATGTTCAGTGTAATGCATAACTTCGGAACCCATTCGACAATAATAGAGAAAAGTGATTGGCATAGTGATAGATAAGTCATTCAAGCTATCAGTGTAGTACTGTTGCTAGTAGTAAAAAGCTAATAAAATTTCAGGATGTATTTATTAGAGCTGGTTGATTAGTAAAATTTGCTAATCGATTACTTATCAGGCTTATTAATAAATTACAGTCAGCCAATTGAACTTTGAAGATGGCTTGAATGGGTAATGGAGAAAACGTTGTTATAAATGTATAATGTTGTACATTTATAATAAAGTTTTTCATTACCCATTCAAGCTGTCTTCAAACTTTTATTTTCTAAAAAAGTGGGTTCCTTGTCATCAAATTAGGTTAGCTAATCGATTATTCTTACACGAGATTTTGAGAGTTGGAATAATTGAAAATAGTAATAATCAGGAACACTGTGTTTGATTATTTTTGTGAGTTGTGACAATTGATTGATTAAGCTGAACAACCTTGAATGAATTTAAAATAATGAGAGATCATATGTTTACTTGAGTACTTGGAATAATCAAAAACACTAAGTTCTATAACATGATTATTTTTGTAACATTAATTGATTTAATTATTCAATTACTTTAAGTGACAGTAATCAATTGTCTATTGTTGATTATAAGACAAAAGAGGTAACTACTTTTATACAAACCTTTTATTAGGTTTCACTTGAAGTAGTACACAGTTTTTTTTTTCAACAAAGTGATATTGACTTAATAGAAATAATTTAGGAAATGGCTACTAGGATGACTTAGAAGATGAAAAGATTGTCTTATTTGAGTAGGTTAAGATCTTTATCTAATTTGTTCTTGAGAAACTAATGTTAAGAAGTGATATAATTGAAGTATACAAATGATATTAAAAGGTCAATAGTATAAAGGACTGATTTCTTTGTGCTGTATTCTGAAGACAATAAAAGTGAGAACACATTTTTAAGAGTAGGAAAAGAAGAGAGAGGCTTCAGATTAGACAGTCTTATTTTTCTAACAGGGTGGTTAGCTTATGGGATGAGTTGCCTTTGACAGTAGTGGATGCTGGCTTGTTATGAGTTTAAGAAAGGTATCAGTTGAACTACTGAAAAGTAAAAAGTGGGTTTAAGCTTTTTTTTTTAATACTTTTTTCATGTAAAGTTGTGCAAAGACAGCTTTGAAGAATCAAATGGTCACTTGGTGTTATTATGATATTTTTTAGCTTTACTGTGGAATGACAAAATGTCAAATTTTATTTTGATTATAAAAGTACTCATATTTTTCACAACTCAATGTGTATGTGTAACAATCAACATTCATGTTCGTGCACTTCTAAAATAATAGCATATGAGCATAATTGTCACTTGTTTAAAATTATAGTTAGCAAGCCATATAAAAATGTTTTATCTCAGAGAACTTCTGAAAACAAAATACAATCTGTGAAGTAGTATAGTTGAACCTTTAAAATGTATTATGAATAATGAAGTCATATTGCACTTCTACTTAAATAAATTGTTCAAAACTTATTGAAAAACATCTAAAATGCATTTCTGTAAGCAGAGCATGTTCTAAGCATTGCTTAAGATTTTAACGCTTTGCTTTTACAGAAAAAATTGTAAAAAACAACATTGGAGTAAGATGAGCAGCCATAAAATGGAAATAGAAATTACACTTTTTGTGAGAAACGCTTAACTGTACAGTCCTTATGTTACTCTAATAATATGTTGTACTATTGACTGCTGTAATCAGCTTTATTAGAAGTGCAACTAGATAAATATTGTAAATTGTCTAAATAGTGTTATCAATGTTTACTACACACTACAAAGTCATGAATATTGGTGAATCATCTGTACATAAGCAGATTCTAAATATAAAAATAAGTAGAATGTTTTTAAACCAATCATTAACTACTATTAATAAAATGTAATGTCAATTCTATTTGGTGTACTTGTATTTGTCACGATGATCTATATGTAAAAAGTGAAATACTTTTAACATAATATATCACTATCATTGTTTTAAATGAAATAAAGCAGGAGTTTTATAATTTCATAAATGAAGACACATACATAGATACATTCATTAATAATTTTATCAAGTCACATTTAATTCATAAAAAACATCCCAGCTCTGATATTTCATACTATACACCTGGAAAAAAGTTAAAGTCGAATCTGAATCACTTGAAAAAAACACGGGGGTGTTTAGATTGAATGGTAATTTATAATCAGTCACAAGAACGATGTCATGATATGTAAATTAAAAATTGTTATTTTACGGTGATAATCTTGTTTTCTTGTGCCCAATAATGCATAATTTCATTTGATAAACACGAAAAATATGGACAG